CCCCCGCACACCCCCTGGAAGGAGCACAGCACACACAAAGAGGTGTGGTTTCCAAGGGAGCTCACAGAGCCTGAGCCCACCCCAGGCACCGTCCGGAGCCCTACCAGCCTCCCCACAAGAGGCTCAGCCAGCCTGTCAGCTAAGCCCTGACACACCAGCGCCCACTTGCCCCCCCACCCCCCGCTGCACCCCCTGCACCCACGGCCCCTGCTGCCAAGTCACTGGAAGATGTGCCTCCCAGCAGCTATCTTGGGAGTTCTGAGAAATTACCTTGCAGCTTCCCAGAATGCCAGAAACAAGACTGAAGACCAAGTCTCATCGACACTTGTCATGCCTCCCACGCCGCAGCCCAGGGGGGGCCTCTGGCCCCTAAGTCAGCTCCCTCCCCAGCGTCCTCAGCTGGGACTAAAAATGGGTACAGAGGGCCCTTGTGCCAGGTCCCCCTCCAGAATGCCCCATCCCTCTTTTCCAGGCCTGTGAGAGGTGTCGCCTGTATTAACCCCTCATTTGGGGGATGGTGCTACCAGCTGCGATCTTCCCTGTTGAGTTAGGTTCTCTACCTGAGCTGTTTAACCTCTTGCAGTGACCCCACTGCAGGCTGGTTACACACTAATCATCCTCCATGGCCCAGTGTCCCCTCCACTGCCACACAAGCAGGAAGCGTCCCTGGGATGATGCCCTGTCCTGGGTTTTTGGATCTCCAGCATACAGCAGGTGTTACGTGTGAAGGATGAATGAACAGTCTCCTGATCAGTGGATCCTAACCGATCCCGTTAGCATCTACTACCTACCTCCCAAAGCTTCCTCTCTCCTGCTCTGCCCCCCATGAGTGGGCTGCTGGGCGCATCTTTCCTGCATACCCTTGTTTGTGCCTGCAATGCCTACCTACCCTTAGCAACCACCTCTCTTCCTGCCACGCCAACCTCTGACCTCTCTCGGGCTGCAGTCTCCTGGGGCCAGATAGGTTTTGCTCGTCCTGGGATCTGTGCCCAGGCCTGAACCAAAGTCTCATCCAAGCAGGAATCAGGAACACGCCAATAGACTGGCTGAGTTCCTACGCTGGGATACCAGCAGCCTCAGAACCTAATACAGCCCTGTGCCCAGCCACCCTGGGCCTGGGCCCCTGCCCACTTGTGGCCCTGCACTCTTTCTGCAGCAGGCTGGTGATTAACTATGCTCTCCCTTCTGCATGAAGGACCCTTCCAGGTCACCACCCCCGGTACAGCAGCCCACTGAAAAACAGTGGGGTCTGCAGGGCCCCAAGGCAGCATGAACTGAGCAGTGGAAAATAGTGAGGGCAAGAATGAAGTCAATGGACCATGGAAATCTGAGCTTAACATTGCCCTTTTTGGGCCTCAGTTTCCCCACTTACAAAATGTTCGCAAAGGCATCTTCCTGTTCCCCCTTCTGTATGCCACGAGCTTTGCAGTATGGCCTCAGCTCCCTCACACCCACTCCTTCCACCCATTGACATGCGGCCATCAGAAAGTTCTTCCTCTTGTCTAGCCTTCTCTTCTCAGGGGTCATGCTGACCCGGGTCATGTTGACCACAAAATACAAAGACCTTGCAACTCAGCCTGCCTGGGGGTATGTCAGAGACTTTGGGGCTGATAGCAGTTAGAGGTCCTGGCTGGACGTGGTGGGGCAGACCCCAGTAAAGGAATACCCCAGCTTCGGCCCCAGACGCTTTTACCAGCAGCAAAAACCCACACTGTCACATCACTTGATCTGTCAAGAAAAACCCCAAGTCTATATTACTATAAGAAACCTTGTATTCAAAATCTGAAAAACATGGCAGATTTTGAAATGTTGACTTTTGTTTAGCCTTTCTAGCAGCCAAAGTCAATGTATCTACTGGGGAGATTTGGCCTGCAGGGCACCCCTCACCTCTAGCCCTCCCTGTCTAATAGGCCGCAGCAGAGTGGGGCAAGGTGTGACCTACCTACCTGAGCTCACATTGCAGTCAGGAGGAGCTCCCAGGTTCCAGATTCATTCCTAAGCACCCTGCTGTGCAGTCGCTGCAAGACCATAATCATTCTCACAGCCCGATTATGTTCCCAACCCTGCAGCTACCACCTTACTCCCGGGGCTGCAGAGAACAGTCTTCCTCCCAGTGGGCCCGGGGGATCTCACACTGCATAGGTGGGTACAGAGCTAGCGTGGAGTTTCCTTCCAGCATCCAACTGCAGATGCCAAAATTTAAGACATGAGACACAGGTACCTGACACCAAAGCAACAGCGCCTTTACCTTCTGGCTCCCTCAAACCCTGCCATTCCTTCCCCGCCCCAGGAGAGATCAATATTAACTAGCCAGGTAGCCTCCTGTCAGCTTTCATTTTACAAATGCAGGCCCAGAGAAGTTAAGCAACTTGTTCAGAGTCACACAGCAAGTCTTTATGAGCATGCAGTCTATGGTATCTGGTTTCATAGCTCTCAGGGATCGAGAATTTTCCTGTTGCTCCTATAGTAATATAGTCACCCAGGGACACAGGAGGTCCCGTACTGAGGCGATATATTAGCTGTCCTCTCCATGCCTTATCCAAGAACTGCACTGAGGGTCAGCTGCCCCAGCCCTGGCCTGGGTGGGGTAGAGAGTAAGGGGGTAGACATATGAAGAGAAGCTAAGGACAGTGTTGCCACACGGGGCACTCCCTAGTTGCTCTAAAAGAGCTAAGAAGAGAAAGCTTAGTCTTCGTAAGCCTTGGGGTCTGGGGTCCAGGTGAGGACAGGGCCTGCTGCCCACAGGTCCTCTTCTCAGGTAAGCCAAGCTACCTTGTTCTGCCCCCACCGCGTACACACTCAGTCTTTGACTCTTAAATGCTCAGAGTCCAAACTGAAACGCCACGCATCATTGCACAGGACAGGAGGACCCGTCCACACGCCACTCACAAGCCCTGGCTCCATCAGCCTGGAGCACGGGGTTCTCATCGCAAAGCCCACCTGTGAACTCTGCTGTCCTGCCTCCTAGCCCCCTACTCCAAGTCCACCATCCCTCTACGATGACTGAGGTCTCCCCCTTGTACTCCAGAAATCTAGAGAAGGAATGTGAGGTT